TGACAAATTACCTTAATGAACCACAAAAGTTCTTCCAACACTCCTTTCCAAAACACACGTTTTGTTGTCAACAAAGGGAACTGGTCTGTGGGGAAGTACAAAAGACATATTAGCATATAAATAAAATCTACATCAGCTATTTAGCAACAAGATTTTGTATAGACTTTTCATGCCAGAGATTGATAAGGGTCCCTAGCATTTAAGGGCCAGGCAACAATTGACGACAGCTGTGCTCATCTAAATCATTCAGAGGGTGGCAAACCCCCATGTTCCCACTTTTAATAAGGAACACTCTCATTGCCATAACAAGCCACTCACTTACATTATTATAAAACATGCAACTAGGTAATAACACAAATACATGGCTTAACATCCTACACAACTAGCCGGACTTAGTTACTTGCCACTGCAAACCTTTAAACTCAATAGTAGATTCCCCAGGCATTCTGACCTCTCTCTCCCTATCACATCATTCCATCCTTCTATTTGAAGTGAACTGGTTATGGGAACAAAAAAAAAAAAAAAACCCCACTATCTGAAATCGCTCCCATATACATTGGATACATCATATATCACAAAGATACATGGCGTATTCAATTTAAAATATAAAGATTGACTCACATTTCCTCCATTCCAGTGTCGCTTCGTGGGCGTTACTCTTTGTGTAGCATCCAACTTCAGGCTGTCCTATGCTCCTCCCGAGGTCTTCTTTGATTTGCCCTGCTTGGGAAGCATCCCCAAGCAGGGCAAATCTAACCGTCTTCATTGCTATACTCCCTAGGTAGAAGTGCAGGCTAGGGAGTTTTAAAAGCAACCACAGAGCATGCGCTGAGGTTGCTGTGGGTGGAGAGCAGAGGGACCTCCTGTTAGCCAATGGCTCAGGACACCTCACAGCTGGGAGAAAAACCTATTGTTAAACAGGTTTTTCTTCTAATCTATAGGTTTGCAAGCAAAACTGCTAGCACAATGTAACGATAAAATATTATGCTCAACCTAACGAGCGTAGGTTATTTGGGGCATAGTAGGTGCCCTTTATGTCACTGCTCTGTGATGTTAAGCACTTATGATAGAGAATGTGGGAATATGAAGTCACATACATTCTCCATGGCAGCAGAGAGGAAACACTGGAACGGTTTATGGGTTTATGTGACAAGGCACAAGGCCCCAATGACACGGAGGACTATGGAAAGGTTTTGTACTCTCCCCACAGCTGATGGAGACACTATTCAGGGCATTAGGTCCCATTTCTGGATCTTATTGGAAAACTAAAGCACAGATACCACATTCAGCCACCACAGTGCTGTGGGGGATTATTTACTACTTGCTTTGTATCCCTGTTGACAGCTATAACAAATGCATCAGCTCCACACAGTTGTAAGGAAGATCTGGTGTTTCATTAGGGTTCCTGTGCTGCTATTAGCAGAAGTGGGGATACAATCTGTAACAATTACTCTTTGAGCCGCATGGCCCTGCAGCCACTTGTAGGGATCCTGCAGTAGAGGGGAGGTTGCCCTGCATTGTAGGGTAACATTGGTTAGGGAGTTAGAAATGGTTGACTATCAACGTTATTAACTAAAGTGTAAATTCAAAACTGAATTTCAAATGTAATGCCAGTGTAGCCAAACGGAAAGCATAGTTGACAGAGAATGTTTCCATTTCAGCTATTTTGACCTTAAATTTAGAATTCGCACTTTAGTGAATAAAACGGTTTAGAAAAGAAAAAGGCCAATAGGAATAAGCGCACACCTAGTCTATTGTAAAAAAAAAAATAAAGAAAAAAAATAAAATAAATAAAATACTGTATTGGGTTATTGTATTCTTATTTCATAATCTATGCAGACTTAGACCGGGGTTGCAAGCTTACCATCTTTACAGGTTTATTTTGTGGAGATCTGCACAATTTTTTTTTAGTATTTTTGGAGAACTAAATACTTAGGTTTTTTGTTTTTGTTTTAACCATTTCTGCACTCTTTAAAAGTACTTAAGTGACAACATCACGGTCAGTAATTCATACTCTCCACTTCAGTTTGTGTGTGTTTGGGCACCTACTTATTTTGTAAAATTATCATGTTGGCCATACATACCCCTAGGAAAACAATCATTTATACTAAAAACAGTATAGTGCATTGCAATTTATTACTTTCCTATTGACCAATTTGACTTATTTCATTGCAGTCTGGTTAGGGTTAAGCCTTTAAACTCACGTCTAGTCCATTATTGTACACTAAAATAAGCTCTACTTTAAAAGGACACTGTAGGTCACCTGAACAACTTTAGCTTAATGAAGCAGTTTTGGTGTATAGAACATGCCCCTGCAGCCTCACTGCTCAATCCTCTGCCATTTAGGAGTTAAATCCCTTTGTTTATGAACCCTAGTCACATGTCCCTGCATGTGACTTGCACAGCCTTCCATAAACACTTCCTGTAAAGAGAGCCCTATTTAGGCTTTCTTTATTGCAAGTTCTGTTTAACCCCTTAAGGACTGAGCCAAATGTACACGTTGTGAACGAAACAAAATGTGAACAAAACCTGGCATTTGCGCTACATGTCTGTCCAACCGTAATTCACCTCTTTCATATTAAATGCACCCACCCTTATTATATATCATTTTATTCAGGGGAAACAGGGCTTTCATTTAATATCAAATATTTAGCTATGAAACATAATTGAATATGAAAAAAATTGGAGAAAATAAGATTCTACATGACATTTTAACTGTCAATGTCTTAATACTGTTTGCTTTTACTGCAATAAAATACACATATATTTGTATTCAGCAAAGTCTCACGTGTAAAACAATACCCCCTACGTACAGGTTTTATGGCGTTTTGGGAAGTTACAGGGTCAAATATAGCACGTTACATTTGAAATTTTGGCCAGTGTTTGTGACTAAGTGGCTACTAAAAAAGACTGGACATACCCCGTTTGCAATACCTTGGGTTGTCTACTATTGCAAATGGTATGCCATCATAGGGGTAATTTTCATTCTTGGGCTACCATAGGGTCTCAAAAGCACCGTAACCAATCTGGCAAATTTTAATGTGAAAAAAATGAAACGCAAGCCTTATATTTGACGCTGTAACTTTTGAAAACACCATAAAACCTGTACATGAGGGGTACTGTTGTACTCGGGAGACTTCGCTGAACACAAATATTTGTGTTTCAAAACAGCAAAAAGTATCACAGCAATAATATCGTCCGTGTAAGTGCTGTTTGTGCATGAAAAATGCAAAAAACAGCACTTTTACTGGCGATATCATCGTTGTAATACATTTTACTGTTTTGAAACACTAATATTTGTGTTCAGCGAAGTCTCCCGAGTAGAACAGTGCCCCTCATGTAGGGGTTTTATGGTGTCTTAGAAAGTTATAGGGTTAAATATAGTGCTAGCAAATTAAATTCCCTTTACTTTCGGCATGGGTTGTCAGGCAGGTCCCGCTAATTGTAATTAAGATACCTAATTATGTAAAAATATTATCTTTTTTAAAATATTTTTATTTATATATACGTATATATTTATGTATGTAGATATATATATTATTTTGTTCTACGTGTATTTTGATATAAATATATATATTAATATCACAATACAGTTAGAACGAAATAACACATTTTTTAATAATTTTTTTAATTTTATTTAACACATACATATATATACATATATATATATACACACACACATACATATATATATACATATATATATATATACACACACATACATATATATATACATATATATATACACACACATACATATATATATATATATATATATATACACATACATACATACATACATACATACATACATATATATATATATATATATATATATATATATATATATATATATATATATATATATATATATATATATAAAAAATACTTTTTAATTTTATTTTAATTTTATTTCCACCCAGCAGGGGGACCACCTGTCATTACAGGAAGCCCCCCTGCTGGCAATGCAGGAGGCAGCTATCCCGGCAATGTCCTTGTGAGGTCCTCGCAAGGACCTCACTCTCACATGGCCGAGGGGGCACCGGAGGAGGAGGATCTACCGCAGGGGGGCTCCCTGGGAGTCCCCCCCACCGCGATCGCCGGCGTGGGACCACCAGCGACCAGGTAAGTAAGAAAAGACCGGAGGGCGTAGAATTACGCCCGGCGGCATTTAGAGCCGCCTAAAATAGGGCGTAATTGTACGCCCTCCGGTCTTAAGGGGTTAATTAAGATTTTCTTATCCCCTGCTATGTTAATAGCTTGCTACCCTGCAAGAGCCTCCTGTATGTGATTAAAGTTCAATTTAAAGATTGAGATACAATTATTTAAAGGACCACTATAGTGCCCTGAGGGTGTCCCCACCCTTAGGGTCCCCCTCCCGCCGGGCTCTGGGGAGAGGAAGGCGTTAAACTTACATCTTTCTCTAGTGCCGGGTGGGGAGCTCTCCTTCTCTCCGCCTCCTCTTCGGCTGAATGCGCATGCGCGGCAGGAGCTGCGTGCGCATTCAGACAGTCCATAGGAAGGCATTCCCAATGCTTTCCTATGGACGCTGGCTGGTGTATAACTCTCTGGTCCTTCATTTAAATGTACTATCTGCATTTTATTTGTTTGCCTTTTCTCTTTCTTAAAGCAAAAACATATTTGTAAACATCATTATTTGTTTCTGTATTACACCCACTAAACTGAGGAATGTCTGGAGATAACAGGACACTTGGAAATTTAAGTTAAGAATCACAGCAGTGAAAACAGATTTTGATTATTATTTCAGTTTGGCGATTTGGGTGTAGAAGTTGCACTTCCCTTGTTGCTATTTTTGTGAAATAATAGTTATAAAAATAAAACCTAAGATATGTGCAAAAAAAAAAAAAAAAAATATGCAAAAATTGTCAACCCAGCAAGTTGGGAAATAGTTCTCAAACATGACTCGACATTGCCGATTTTCTTGTCTTTGCTGATCAGTTATGTGAGTTATCACATTTCATTCTTTTTATGATTAGGGATCAATACTCTTGTCTGTGTGCCCATAGTGTTAACTTTAACTATGCCAGTCCCTGACCTTTACCCAGTGCTCTGATTCTGTGCCAGTAGATGGCGCTATCTGAGCTCCCATGGAAGGGGTACAATCTCCCGCCAGCCGGTCACCCTTCAATGAATGAATGAATGAATTTTTATTATTATCATTGAAAGCGGGTCACTCCATTGCAATAAGGCATTGTGCAGTAATAACCCCTGCACTGCCCATAGCTGTGCACGGAACGACCTGCCGCCAAGTGTTTTCCCGCGTTTTCTCGGGCTCTCACCTCGCAAGCTGTACCGGGCTTGCATGCCGAACACCGAGATGGTGCCGGTCCCGGTCCGGTCCTCCTTGCGGTGCCCGCGCTCCAGGATGTGCCCGATCTGTCCGAGATACTGCATTTCATCATGGGGGGCTTCCTGGACTTCCGCATCCCTGGCCACCTACCCAGAGAGAGAGAGACCATTAGTACATACCGTGCACATCCACGGAAACACCGCCTGTTGTAGGGCCGGGGGGCAGGGGGCTCACCTTTTCCTGGGGGCCACAAGCGGACAGCTCCGTTTCTGCCGGCATTTTCCCACTTTAATGTCTACACACACTGCCTGCTGTCACTTGAAAAAAGGATTTCCCGCCTGATCAGGAGGGAGGGGGTGGACGGTCACATGATAGGGACAATGTTACCCTACCCAATTTTACTGAGCAGTGCCAAACTATACTACAGAATATGAACTAAGTGAGATTATTTAAAAGTGTATCCTGCATGGCAGCAAGAGTATATATATCATTTACAACACAAATCTCTGTAAAAGTTTGTTCACCGCACCTCATATTTTATATTATTGTTTAAATTCACATTGATTGCATCCTTTCTTGATCTGTCAGGACTGCAAAATTTGGGACCCGTGTCCTGATGCTTGTGATATTTCTGTTAAGGTAATACTCTACACACTATAACCACTATAGTCCGCTATGTTGTTTACTGTGCCGGTGTGCTGGCTCATCATCCCACAGTAAGATGTAAAAACATTTTAGCATGGTTTGATAACTTACCTGGGTCCTGTAAGACACCTGCGGCCACAGCGTTTGCATCTAGTCTTCTCCAGCAGTAGAGCCAATTTCATTGGCTAAAAATGCTTAGCTGAAATTCTCAAACCATGTTAAAACGGTTTGACATCATATACCAAAAGACTACACCAGCTATTATTATTATTATTATTATTATTATTATTATTTATAAAACACTAATACAGTCAGCAGCGCTGTATAGTTGGAATTATAACTTAGACCTAAGTCTTCTGACCTGAAACCTTGAAGGATACGCTAATTTCCAAAACAACTTTAGTTTAATCAAGCCGTTTTAGTGTATAGATCATGCCCCTGCAGTCTCACTACTCTATTCTCTGCCATGTAGGAGTTAAATCATTTTGTTTATGCAGCCTTAGCCACACCTCCCTTGGCTGTCACTCACACAGCTTTCAGAAAAAATTGATTCATTTTCAAGCAGATCTTACAGGACAAGTTCAATTGAACTTTAATCACATGCAGGAGACATCTGTAGGCTCTAGCATACTATTAAAGGACCACTATAGTGCCAGGAAAACATACTAGTTTTCCTGGCACTATAGTGCCCTGAGGGTGCTCCCACCCTCAAGGTCCCCCTCCCGCCCAGCTCTGGAAAGGGGAAAGGGGGTTTAAACTTACCTCCTCCGTTCCGCCCCGTCGGCTGAATGCGCACGCGCGGCAAGAGCTGCGCGCGCATTCAGCCGGTCACATAGGAAAGCATTTACAATGCTTTCCTATGGACGCTGGCGTGCTCTCACTGTGAAAATCACAGTGAGAAGCACGCAAGCGCCTCTAGTGGCTGTCAATGAGACAGCTACTAGAGGATTAGGGGGAAGGCTTAACCCATTAATAAACATAGCAGTTTCTCTGAAACTGCTATGTTTATTAAAAAATGGGTTAACCCTAGCTGGACCTGGCACCCAGACCACTTCATTAAGCTGAAGTGGTCTGGGTGCCTAGAGTGGTCCTTTAACACAGCAAACAAAAATAAATTCTAAATGAAACCCACTGTGCAATAAGGAAGGAAAAAATGGCTTTTGCAGATTGTCCACAGAGGGACTGTGTGAGTCTGAGTCAAGGGAGGTGTGGTTAGGGCATAAATAAAGTGATTGAAAGTGTATCTGTTTCTTTATGGGTTACTTGTTTTTTTACAAAGGCCCCCGATGGTGACATCGCTGCTTAGTGTGCATGGCCTAGGAGTGCAGCCGGGGCGAGTTATACTTACGTCATGCGCGGACACTTTTCAGCTCCTGTTGCTTCATCTGCTAGGAGCCCACCTCAATGTGGTGCCATCTCAATGTGGTGCGCTCACAGATGTATGAGAGAACAACACTGAGGTTTATGGAGGTGCCTGCAAGACTTTAGGGTCCTCCATAGATACTTGTCTTGTGATTAGTGAGACAATGGAGTGTTTCCCCAGCTGTCAATAGCAACTACTGGAGGAAGTGACCATACTTGATGGCGGTAGCTCTGCTTTTGTCAACTTGAGAATTCACCATAAGACAAAGAAGCTCCTACACATACTTTATCCATCACATACTTTATGAGCATTTCATAAAGATTTTAAATTATAACTGATTTAACGCCTGCATGGCAAAGAATGTTTAGCTTTAATACAGCAGGGGTATGATATTTTTGCCCAAACCACTTCAGCAAGCTATACATGTTTTGGTTCTTAGATTTATATTTTGTGATCAAACTTGTTAATATGTCCAAACAGACACTTGTAATACAGACAAATTCATTGCGAGTCTGGTCAAGACTTAGATGGCCCACTTGTCATATTTTATACCCCATTTACTCCCATATATGCGTTTGCCAAATTACATTTCAAATAGCAGACATGAAGCAAAAATGTCTGACCTGGAAAAATTGCTCAACTCCATTATACCGCAGCTTGATAGTTTGGCAATTTGGATTTTTAATTTTTTTTAAATATTTTTTTGCCACAATTCAGAATTTAATGAATAACCCTGTTAGTGTTATTGGCCATTATTTACGCTACCTGTAATTCACATTTGGACTATTTCACCCATACTTTCTCAGCCACTCCTCCTTTGTGCCATTGCACTACAATGTCATAATTTTCCATATACCATTATTCATCCCATAGGATATTTCAATTCTTATTAATTCATTCTTTCATAAAATATTTTACCAGGACAGATACATTGAGACTTCTCTAATTTTCAAATAAGTCAAGGGAAACACATACAAATACATATGTTTTAGTGTGCCCATTCAGCTTTTGGTGTCTAGCAGGACCAAATCTTGTATGGTGTTTGGGTTGCTGAAGCTTGACGTTTTTGAATTTTAACACTGGAACCAAAGGGTAGGTAATGCACTCTAAGAATTTAAGATAGGAGAGAGGGTGAATACCATGTTCTCTTCTGGTCATAAGTAAAAAAAAAAAGTTTTTAAAATTGCTCCTCCAAGCATACAAAGTGGAAAGTATTGTAAAGTCTCAAGAAATATAATTGGGTATTACAAATATATAAATAGTAAGAGTCTCTGAACCAGGATACAGCAATGTTGTTTCTTGGCTTAAAGTCTTTACCTATTTATAATCACGCGGTTCTATGTAGAAGCACGGTCAGGGTTGCCATTAGAACTCTTCAGGTCATTTACAACCATAACAGCTGTGCCACCAAACACACACTCACT